CCCCCCCCCGCGCAGCACCACCGTCTGTCCATCGGACAGTGGACAGTGGACAGCACAGGTATCTCGAGATCGTTGCCTCGGCCTCAGCTGCTGCATCTTGCATCCATCGACACCTGCGCATGCGCATGCCAACGTGCCTGCGACCTGCTCCCTCTGCCTGCTCCCTGCCTGCCCCTCCGCCGTCCGGCAAGCCAGCCAGCCAGCAAGCATTGGTGCCGCGATCCCGCTGGAGCGAAACTAGCAGCGCGAACCAGACTAGCAGCAGTAGTGCTCGCGGTGGACGCCAGACCGTGTGGACAAGTTGTGGAGTCCTGGGTTCTGAGCTCAGAGTTTGAGCGAGAGTGGAGAAGCCCATTCCCTAGCTGCTCCTGCGCTGGGGCGCCCATCAGGCCATACGCCATCCACCCTCCCACTAGCCGTGCTTCGAGTCAAGCGCGGCGAACCCAAGCACCCTCTAAAATCCCCACGGCCCCCCAGTCCTAACCTCTCTCGGCCAGACATCGTCGCTGCACCGGATTTCGTTCTCCAGTCGCCAGTCGCCAGTCTCCAGTCTGTCTCCATCCAGTCTCGCTGCTCACATACCACATACCACATCCCACATCCCACATCCCGAGCACTCGCCGCTTCCTGCTCTGCTTGCGCGCAAACCCGTGGTTGGCGATCCGTGGTATTGAGCCCCCATTACCACCGATCTAAGCACTCTTGCCCACTTCGCATCCGTCGCCTAGCCTTCCGGGTTGCCAGGAGCAGTTGCGTCAGAATCATCGCGCCCTCACTTAAATAGTGCTCGACGCCGCGTCCCCCCCCCCCCCTCCCACCACCCCCGACTTTGGGCTCTGGCTGCCGCAGACTAAAATCTTTCATCCTTGCCCTGTATAGGGCCTGTCTCTTATACACATCTAGATGTGTATAAGAGACAGGTCAGAATCATCGCGCCCTCACTTAAATAGTGCTCGACGCCGCGTCCCCCCCCCCCTCCCACCACCCCCGACTTTGGGCTCTGGCTGCCGCAGACTAAAATCTTTCATCCTTGCCCTGTATAGGGCCTACTGAGAACCGGTGGCTTTGCAATTCCTCCGTCGATCAACTATTCACTCGCCCACGAAACTACTCAAACGACCCCTCGCCCGCCCAAGCGCGACACGTTCTCCCTCGACTGTGCAGAAGCCCAAATCTCGATAGCCGCTGCCTCTGAAGCGCGACTCTTCTTCTAGTACGACCTGCAGAGCAACGCAACGTGCCTTCCCCCCCCGTTTGTTAGTGGAAAAACCTACGCGGCTGCAACTGAGCTGTGCGAGCGATCACCCGGAGCTGTAGTATGTCCTTGGTCTCATCGCAGAATCCTCTTAACGCGTCATTGAATTCCAGCACTGAAGTCGACAACCGCAAAACCTCCCCGGACCACACTGAGGCTACGTTGAGTACGCTTCTCGGGGCTTTCGCAAACTCGGAGCACAACTCTATGGACAGAGGTGCCGCCGAATTCCCGCAGTCAGGTTTGCCCTCACCATATCCACACGCGTTGACCAACGCTCAATCTGAAGAATCACCCGCAGATCACGCATCTGCTGCGCAATACACCCCTCAGCAAGAACCTAGGCCCAATAACTATCCAGCTTCAGCAACTCGCACACCTGAGTACGGTGTTTACCCTGCTTCGGCGCCGCGCCCAGGTTCTTTTCCAGAACAGATTCAGCGCCAGTACCATCCAGCTAGCAACCATAGTGGAAGCAGCGGAGGTATGGCTCAACCAACAAGTCCGTCACTGCCTTTGCAAGATGGCCACACCAGTCATCAAAACCCACAAACCAAGTCTGACTCGGATGTACCTATAGATCCATCAATCGCAGCGTCGAGTCCTACCTACCCACCGCACGCCGGGCAATACTCTCCATATCCACCCCAACAGGAGATGCAGCATGGCTATCCTCAACATCCCGGTGGCGCCATGTACAGTCAACCACGGCCTGATTGGGCTGGTTATGCTGGCCACCCTCAGCATCCTATGCAAGGCGGATACGCGGTGAGTGGTGCCCAAACACCAACCTCTGCGGCTCCAGCTGGCGCGCGTCCTGGCCAAGTAAGCATTGATAGTTCATTATTAGGGTCGTTGGGCGCATCATATCTCTTGTTGCGCCAGACTGCGTATCCAGAAAGCTGAAAATGGGGCAATGAATTTTTTTGTGTGGCATTTCCACTAGAATGACTGGCTATTGGCATTTGAAGCACTTTCGTTTTGAGAAGTCTGGGATAACTCGTCCTACTTTGGAATATCTCTGTGTCTCGTTGGAGCTTCTGATCGCTGACCTGTCGGTTTTTTCTAGGTCTATTCGTTCGTTCCCATCCCAGGTGCGCAACAGCACAAGCGTCCTCGACGACGGTATGAAGAAATTGAGCGTATGTACAAGTGCGGATGGAACGGCTGCGAAAAGGCTTACGGCACGCTGAACCATCTCAATGCCCACGTCACTATGCAGTCGCACGGCCAGAAGCGCACACCTGAAGGTATGCATCCCTTTTATGCTTTTTCCTTCCCAATTTTGCCCTTTCGATGCTCCCCACCTTGTCTGGCAAGTCGCGATACGATGATTCCGAGTTATTATGTTCTGCAGCTGCGGGCTAGGTGCCTTGCTGCATTAAGCCACTTCAGTCATTGAGTGGTTTCTTTTTGTTGAGAGCGCGTTGCTTTTGTGTTCCAACCCTATGGGGGATCTAGTAGCAACTATCTATTAGTGCCAATTGCTGCGTAGCGGATATATTGTTACGCTGGCGTAAACGCTAGGGACTAGAATGATTTGGGTTGTGGATGGGCCTTTAACAGCCCGAGACTAATATTCGCTTACAACGCCGCTACGAAGGCTTAGGGGTCTTCTTGTGTAACTGCAATGTACTAACTTATTCGCAGAGTTCAAGGAAATCCGCAAGGAGTGGAAGGCGCGCAAGAAGGAGGAGGAGAATCAACGCAAGGCCGAGGAGGAGCGCGCTCGAGCTGCTGCCGTTGGCGGCGCTCCTGTTGAAGGCCAGCCACCCAGCGAGGCTGCGTCGGCCCCTCCAGGCTACCAGCAAGGTGGCCCTCGTGCCGTTCAACTCCCACCCATCGGTTACCAACCCGGGGCCCAAGTCCCTGGTCAATACCAGGCCCCAGCTGGTGGTGTGCAGCAGCTTCAGGAGTATAGCAATAATCATCTTCAATATTCTGGCTACCCAGCTTCGCCGTATGGCGCTCCAAACCAGATGTATAGCCAACGTCATTAACTCCTCCCCTTCCCCAGTTTTGGAGGATAATACTAACTTCAAAAATAGATAACCAAGGCGGCCCCGCACCCAAGTACGAGCATTAGACCTAGCAATCTCCCTCCATCGGCTGGCGCGTCACGAAAAACTCGCACAATGTCCTCCATCTCGGGCCCGTCGATACCGATTCGCTTTATTGTTCTTATTGGCTTGCGCTCTTGTACCATATGGGTCGCGAATTGCATTTGGTTGGGTGCCCATCCTCTGAATTTCCTCCGTTGTTAGACGTCCTCTTTTCAATCCCATTCGGCAACGAAAACGATTTGCATGGCTTGATGACCCTTTACACCTTTACCTTCTATCCTTTCTGGCGGGGGGGCGCGATCAAGTAGGGGAGGTCGGCTGCATTAAATGGGCTTTTCATGGCGTCATGGACTTCTTTTGCTCGAGTTCTTTCATGGTGGAACTGGGGGTTTTTTTTGTGTCGTTGGTCAACTCATTTCTGCATATGCTCTTGGTTTTAAGGCTTCCCAAAGACTTCCATACACCATATCAGATCTTCAGTTTTGCGGACCTCGCTTTCCTAATTGCCTGGTTGTTGAGATTGTAGTTTTTTCCCCAATGCAAAATTCACCTGGCAGCATACACGGAGGTCACCAGCATTGGCGGGTAGGGTGGAATACTTGCATTCTGAAAAATAATTGTCGAAGCGCTGCTTGCTTTGCCGAACCGGCCCATGTATCGAGAAGCAATAACAGTTAAATTATAGTTCGTTGTGATGTACTGATGTATTAATGCATGTTATTTGTATATTGATGACTAGGGCCGGATGCCAAGCCGTCGACGTCAATGATTAGGTAAGTATCTCTATAATTTGCCTTGTTGTACAGGCAATAGCCACAATCTTCTTAATCCTTTAGTGATAAGGCATAGAACCCGATTGATAGAACGGCCTTGTACATGACCTGCGCGATCTACCTCAAACCCCTTCAAATGCCCCGAAACCTCCTAGTCAAGTGGCTGGGTTCGAATGTCTTCCCGAGACTAGTGTTTTCGGGAAGAAGAGCATCGGACTTCTCTGCTAAGATTAAGATTTGAGACTAGGCAAGATTTCCGAAGAGAGCAGGCAAAGTATCGGTGGCAAGAATGTGCGGGGCTGATGAGACATTATTTCAAGGCATGCAGGATAGCCATTCATCCCAGAACAATGGCTTGGGAAACGATGGACTTGAGTCCGGATTCCAACAGCCTTTCTTCGAAACGCGACAAGGCGAGAGCTTCTATGCCAGCGACTTGTTCAATGACAAAGAAATTTTCGCGAATTTGATGTCCTGCAAGGAAATCCGTATCGTCGTGTAGGTGATGTTGGCCTTCCATCACAGGTATATTTAGTATGAAGGCGGCTGAGCTACATAGACGCCAAGCCTTAGAAGGAGTTGTTTAAGCACATGTATAAGCGATCACGCACTTCCATCGGCATTAAAGCAGCCTGCTAATTGAAGTAGTTCCTCTATTTTCAATCTAAAATGGTCTTGTCCCAGTATTGCCTGCATGGCTAATTGGGGGGGGGGGGGAGGATAAATATAAAGAATGTATCATCTGTTTTGAGAAATGGATGCCGATTAAGAGGATTTCCCCACCATCTCGAACGTCCTGACGACAGATTCTAAGGTCCAGCGTGTAGCTACCTAGCTATACAGTCCCAAATATCTTTGAGATAGCTCAAATTGATCGATACGACGGTATAATCGGGAACTCCTTTGCCTTGGGGAGGGTTTGAGAGACGCAGACGCCGCCAAACTTGTTGCTGTTAAACCTCCCGGGATACATATTGTCACCTCCACGAAAGCGACAGAAACAATGTATTTAGAGTAGCACTCGTCTTTGGTTTTGTGAAGTATTATAAATAATAATGCTATCGAGCCTTATCTGTGTTGGGGAGACTAAGCCGAGGAAAGGCATAGGATCGAAAATCGTTACAGGGTCGACAAAGAATCCAGGCGTGATTGTTCTCCCATCCCTTTCTTTACAATTTTGACGACCCAGTTGATCCTCCCATGGATGTTTCCAATTCTTTGGTTTTTCGCTGGAAGTTCTTGACCAATTGGCGAACAGCGAGATCGAGCATCACATCTTCACTTCCTCCTGGAATCCGAACACCTGGGACTTCCCGGTATATCCCTATAGTTGTTGTCAGTATTCTGCTATCATTTTACACCAGTCAACTTACTCTCCGCTATTTCACCCTGTCCGGACTTCGTATAACCATTCCCCCCGAAGAGCAGAACAGCGGTGCTAGCACAAACCTCCAAAACCCTCCCAGCCTGGGCCTTTGCTAACGCTGTCAAACCGCCCAATTCTCTATTCGCCTCTTCTTCGCTAAGTTTCGTCATGCAGTATGTGAACTGCTCAATCCAAGCCCAGTGGGCCTCCAAGTCAGCACCACATTTTGCAAGCCTGTGCCTAACAACAGGCTGTTCCATCAACGTCTTTCCAAACGCCTCCCTCTTCAAACAATACTCAAATGCAGAGCTCAATGCAACACGAGAGAGTCGGCTAACAGAAATGGAAATGGTAAGCCGCTCGTGGTTGAAGTTCTGCATAACGTATTTCATGCCATGTCCTTCGTTCCCAATAAGGTTGGAAACGGGCACTTTGACGTCGTCCAACTCGATGAATGTAGTTCCGGCGGAGGATTGGCCTCCAACTCTGATACGTCGCATGTTAACGCCAGGTGTATTGAGGAGCGGGACTACGAGCACTATATGGTCGGTTAGTCAGTATTTCGATTGAGTAAATAATGAATGGAGCGGAGAGGAATGAAGGCCGGTTTCTGTGCCTTGGGTTGATATGGGGGCAGCGGCAAACTGCATCTAGAGCACTTAGGAAAAGGGCTCAAGGAGCGTAATCATACTTACTCGAGAGGCCGGAGGGGCCAGGGCCGCCAGTTCTTACGGCCATACTGGCGTAGTCAGACCAGAGGCCGTTGGTGATCCTATATTGGCAGTCTAGTTAGCACACGCCCTTTCTGGGGAGATTACATAGATAATAGACGTCGCATACCATTTCTTCGTTCCATTGACAATAAAATTCTTGCCATCATCAGATCTCACAGCCGTTGTGGAAATATTCGAGACATCGCTCCCAGCGCCCGGTTCCGTAATAGCAATGCAGATCCGCTTCTTCCCCGTGATAATATCTGGCACAAACCTTTCTTGCAATTGTTTATTTCCAAATTTCAATATGGGAGGGAGACCAAATGCGACGCCTGTAGTAATAGCACCTGAAGGCCCAAGGGAGCCTGTCCTCGACATTTCATCTACATATATCAAGGTATGTAGGTAGTCAAAATCCTCTACCTTTAGGCCGCCCGGTAGTGTGTGAATGCCTAGCTTGTGAAGCCATTCCACAGGTAATGGCGCGGAGAGGTTGGGAATTAGGAAGTTTGCTGCGGCGAATCTACTATACAAATCCTCTGGTTGGTGTGAGTTAGACATGCGATTGATTGACGTTTGGGTGGCATAAGCGCTGACCTGGAACATCTCCTGCCTTTTCCCATTCACCAGCCTCGGGCATCAGGAGCTCGTCAACGAGCGCGCGACATGTCTTCTGCCATTTCCGGTGCGAGTTGTTGTAATACGCTGACGGCATGCCCATGAGCCAGGGAGGCTCGGAGAAGGGGATTGGCACAGTTTTCGGCATTGTGAAGTTCTGGAAGACAATATTAGACGATTCAAGAATAGAATATAGATGGTTTAGCTTTTCCAAGGCGGATTAACTTGGTATTATATGATAAGCACGAGGTGGTTGTACACTACTAGGTAGATAGCTGGTAAGATGTGGGGAAGGACCCAGCATTGCAGCCGAGGCATCGCCTCCCCCCACGTCTCTCCACGCTGGACCTGGAGTACCGACGTACTGGAAGGTAAATACGTCAGTCTTCCACTGTCATTCACGGATATCTTGGCTCAGATTTAATATTAGCTCGAGTTCAAATTAGGTCGCAAATTTAAGAACAACCCCGCGTAGAAATCCACGTTCCAAGCCATCAGAGAACCTTTAGTCTCGCATTGTTACGATCAATTAATTAGATTATTATCCGACTATCTGGCGCAATCCTTAGTCACTCTCCAAGCACCTAATCCTCTCCGCCCAACTACCCTCCGAATGGTAGCCCAGACCCCATCTTCGCCAAAATCAAGGTCATCCAGATTCAAATGCCTTCTATACCGCCAGACCTCCTGGAAATGTAGCCCGGAGTCGTTCGACGTATGGCTATCTAAAAATGTTGCCGATAGCGGTGCTATCAAATAGGTTCCCTCTTTTTCCTCCAGGTATGCTGTTGCACTTGAAGATGGTTTGTGACAAGTGGCCAGCGCACTAACTTCCCTCAACATGAGAGGTCCTTTCATCCCCATTATATCATGCGTCTTCAAAACCTCGTTCTTCCCATTCAAAAGCCATATTGGTGGGCTATAAGTCTTCCACCATATCGCCTGTGTAGCATCTGGTTGATTACTCAAGAATACTTGAGTTGGGATAATGCCTCCTTGATGGTACACTCCCATTAGGACGCCGAAGATTATATTAAACGCGACCCAGAGCCCAGCCCAGATCCGTAAATGTGTTTTGTTCTTCGGAAGTTGAACAGATGACAGTATAAGAGGCACTGTTGGAAGAAGAAATCGCGCCTCCTGATGCTGAAAGATCGAAAGTACAAAGACGCCCGATATCGCCGAGTAGAGGCGTAAGGATGGATGCGGAAAGCAAAGGAGTAGGGCAACCGGGCCAAGTAACAGTGGTGTATTGAAGAGAATATGTTGGTACCATGGGTGTAAGCCATGGGTGGCAAGATTGCTTGCAGATAGGTTGTACTTTAGATTGTTGAGTGGTGTGATGGTAGGGTGGGAGAATAAGTAGGACCAAGTTACCGAGTGGTCGGTATAAAAAGTTGTGTCTAGGTAGATCGCGATGAAGATGGCGAGCAGAGCGGAGAGTATTGCGGAAATAAGAGAAAAGGGTCTAGGGAAATGGATCAGTCAGATGTTCAGGGTGGGTAGGGGCGGACATACTTCTTGATAAAATGGGGTATCAAACGAAGGCCAGGGATTAAAAGGAATGCCGGAAATGTGATCCTGTTAAAGATCCCAAACACAACCACAAATGCAAGAATCGCTGTCGCAAAGAGTGACGAGCGTTGCTGCAAAAATTGTAAGCAACCATTGACATCCCAATGCAGATAGAGTGGGGATTCCGTACCTTATTCTCCACGATCCTTTGGATCAAGACCAGACTCCATGCCACAGCCAATGTTTCTATAGAGTTCGAGAATGTATGGGTCTGATATGTCCAAGTCACATAGGACGACGCGACCAACATAACTGCAACCCTTCGGTGTCGAGGCGATTGTACCAGCTCATGGAGAGCCCAATCCTCCAGCACGAAACTCAAAGCAAACATCAAAACTCGCAAGGTCCAGAAGACCGCGATCGGAGGGATCTCTCCATCGTTGCCATTCCCTATCCACAACCATCGAAGGAGGAGCATCGGCAGACCATAAACAGGCCATAATGGGAAGACGCTTCGAATGGGATTGACGGAAGTAAACTCCCAGGTCAGTCGGACGGGGTAGCTAAAGATTTGGCCTGCCAAACGGAGTGTTAGCAAACATAAAGTATAGAGAGGACAAGTAGCTCGGGATGTTCGGGGATTGTTGCTGCTCTCTGGGGCATGCTGGCGCGGCCATTGATTGACGGCGCATCCCGCAAGCCTTTGCGCTGCAAGCAGGAGGGATACCGTTTTTGAGATTCCAGAAAACCGAGCGACGTACCTGCAATGACCTCGGGGCCCTGAAAGTTCTCGTCGGGGTGTAGATAGCTCGGAGATAGCGCAAAGTACAAGCGGACCAGAACGAGAAACAAGTATACGCGCCGCCACATTGTGTTCGACTATGGCGTTCGATGGGGGCATTGGAACAAAGGCATCTGAATGCGGGATGAGAGAAGGAGAACAGCAGAGCGCATTTGCGATTGTGATACACCGCGTCTGGGGGACAACGAAACGGTGGAAACAAAGGGGATACAATAGCGCCAAATAATAATTACGAGCGAGAATGCTTTGTGAGACGCGTCGCTCCTGATGACAGGGGGGCTGATAACACGCTCCCGCTCGCAACGACGGGGCAAATATCGCGTGTGCTAATAATAATGTACAGTACAATGTACCTGTGCCGGGTACGAGGAATGCTTTCCGGGGCCGCCAATATATGGCCTCTGGTCAAGATCAAGGTAATCAATCGTATGCGTGGCCACAACCTACGGAATGGCGAGCGTTCATCCCGATGGCCGGCAGAGATGACGATAAACTCGGGGATTCAGCCATACCGTATCATTGCCCGGAGACAATGTACCGTACATGTACTTCGTATGCAAGCTGGTTACGGAGGAGGAGGGGGTACCTCCGTCGGCTCAACATCAGCACTCGTACGGAGCGATGTGTGTACTTCGATACGTCGACATGCTTCAGGAGAGGACCTATCCTATGCCCTAGGGTCTACCATTAACCATTAACACCCTAAAGGGGCGTCGTGCCGATGTGATGTTCGTATATTTAAGTTGGTTTCCTTATCGCTCGAAGGCAGCGCGGCACTCGTAGAGCGTGGGTATTACATGTCCATGTACATGTAGGTACCGAGCGAGGCTACGATACTGGAACCACCAGGCTAGGTTCCTTGGACTCGTAATGACTGGACAAGGCTGAAGCCAAATGGGCTATGTCATACTCCACGAGTACTCGTATCGTACCTCCCTATGGTGGCTACCTATCCCTCGGCGGAGGCAGCTAGGCCACCTCCAGTCCCTACAGTCCCGCGATGAGATCTGCTTGAAGCCGAGACCGAGCTCTCCAGGTAAACCTCCCACGCATCTATGGACGCTACTATTCTGAGTCACCGATCACTCACAATTCCGTAAAGCGATGCGATGCGATACAGAACTTCGTGAACAGGTGGCACTGGCAACCTAACAGGCAGGGTGAGCCGGTGCAAAGGGGACCAACAAGGGGAACCATCTTGCTCTGATCGCCTTGCTCTGTCTTGTTTGGCGGTGTCTGTGTCTGTGTCTGCCCTTCACCTCAGCCTTTGTGTGGTGAACCGTGAACCATTATCTCGCCCCGGGTAGCGCTGCTAAGCGAGCCCGAGACCCCAGGCAAGCGCGCATCACTGTTCAAAAGCCGCGATCCAACACAGCCGCTACCTAATCTACATAAACCGTACCTAGGAACTGTCATATCCCATCTCCCATCGCCCATCTCCCATCTCATCTTCCACCCCCACATCAACGCTCACATCTCGAATTCTAGAGTCCTGCTCCCGCTCCCACTCCCACCCCCACATCACAACATCGCACTTTTGACCTACCACGTCGTCACTTGCGTTCTACTCTATTCATCATGTCTGACTCCAAGACCATGATCACCTTGATCAGCAATGACAATGTTCACATTCAGGTTGGTCAGTACACCCCCTCGCCCCCAACCCTCGCCCCCCGAGACGGCACAAGAACAATGCTAACATGCCCCACAGAGAGAACCGTCGCCGAGCGCTCTATGCTCATCAAGAACATGCTGGAGGATCTGGGAGACTGCGCCATGAGCTCTGCTATCCCCATCCCCAACGTAAGTCTAACACCCGCTATTTCACCTTTCGAGTGACCTAGATCGCTAACATATACCCGTAGGTGAATGAGCCCGTCCTCAAGAAGGTTATCGAGTGGTGCGAGCATCACAAGAACGACCCTCAAACCACCGCCGACGATGATTCTGATTCTCGCAAGAAGACCACCGATATCGAGGAGTGGGACCAGAAATTCATGCAAGTTGACCAAGAGTTGCTCTTCGAAATCATCCTCGCCTCCAACTACCTCGACATCAAGCCTCTCCTCGATGTTGGCTGCAAGACAGTTGCGAATATGATCAAGGGCAAGTCTCCTGAGGAGATCCGCAAGACCTTCAACATTACCAACGACTTCACCCCGGAGGAGGAGGAGCAGATCCGCCGGGAGAATGAGTGGGCTGAGGACCGCTAGGCTGTTGAAGCTGAAGTGGACATATGGGACAGACTGGGTTGAGGCGAGAGGTTTCGCGCACACTCTCCCTTACCCCGCACTCCTGTTGGCAATATGTTCTTCTCCTTTTACGATGATACAGTCACAATCTTGTCTGACTGTGGCCCCTCGACACTAGTTATCAGGAGCTGCACCAGTATGGATTGCTGGTAGACTTTTCTTTGCCTCTGAAACCCACTGCTTTCCTTTTGCACACATGGTCTATTGCATGGCGTTACGGTTCCCCGCCTGGCTTTTCCCAAGGACGTCTGAAATCTTCCCAGACTTGATTTCTCAGTCTTCGGATGTAGATAGACTACACAATTTCATAAACTACAAAAATGACGGTTGTGATCGTGAAATAACTTCTTGAGCAAATATGACGTGATATATATCATACTTCCTGACCCTAAATATGTACCCAAATTGAAAGCTGACAAGAGACTCCTTGGCCCAGGTCCATAATCCACTATCTTTGTGCCTTTGCCCCTTTCGTACCCCACCGTCCCGTAAGCACTCAAATGTTGCTATCCCTAGCCTCCTTGAGCCTAGAAAGCAAATCTACCAGAGTCGCCTCCCTCTTTCTTCCTTGGATTATTTCCTAATCAATACACCTCTCTCGATTTACGCAACTTAAACTTTTATCCGTATATACAACTCGGATTTGCCGTAAGCTCGTCATGCCTGATGCGATGATATTCATGATACGGCAGGGTTATAAAATGATGAGAACTTGTTTTGCTACCATAAGCTGGGTAGGTGGAGTCATTTCATGATTTAGCGTCTCAGTTACCGGTCTGCTGGATTGCGACTTCCGTTATTGATTAGTAGCCAGCCAGATAGGAAGGGCAAACTAGGTCATAGGGTGGTATTTGGAGCGGGGGTTGGGATTTGTGGGGGGAGAACAAGAGAGTAACATTTGGCCAGGCTTCACGCCAATCCGAAATATCAAGATCTAGGCTTGAAGTCCGTAAATTCTCCCGGGCGGTCTCACAAACACTAATCGTCGGTAATAAACATTGCGGGAAAGACGTCAATTCATTGTGCTATGCCCATTGCAAAGCAAGATATGCCCATCCCATCCCATAGACACATCCCAACCAACACCACCATCGACCATGCTCATTGCCAAAGCACCACGTAATCCATCATTCCATACAGCTGTTGTTGCTCCGCAGGAAAGTCGACGTCGCAATAAAACAGAGAAGTAGTCGGAATGAGATGATGGAATGTTGAGAGTCGGGCTGTACGTAGCGTCCGTTCAGATACCGATGCGGGTCTTGCGCCAATGTCTCCTCTTCGCGTTGTATCTATCATACCGGTCAGTACCTGAAGAGTCATCATCATAGGAAAGGGCTAGGTCCGCGAATAGATCGTGGAAGTAACGAGGGGGTAAATCGAGCGTACCTGATGGTGTTACCGGTTCTCAGTCGAATCCATTGAGGGATGGGTCTGTTTTGCTTTTGCGCTCTGGCAAGCTTTTGCTTGGTACGGAAAGACTTGTGGCTCTGTATTGCGACGCATCATCAGCCTATGCTCCTTTGAAATTCAAACCGCCCGCCATCTTTGTCCCTCGTTCTCGAGCTCCCAAAGCAGCCTTTCCAAGCACCCAGGTGGCAGGCTCTTTTCCATATTCAAGACCAAAACTCTTCTGTGGGAAATAGGGGGTTCGTTACGTACCGGCATCGTGACGGATCGTCGTTGTGTCGAGACTGTGATTGATTTCTTCGTCGTTTGAAAGAGAACTGTTTTAGATCCCGAATTATTTGGCCGCTCGGCGTTTGTGGGACACGTGATCCAGCCCGACTTTGCCGAATGAGGCTTGCCAGATACGGTTTGGCGCGAGATTTCACGTGCATCGCTCCGGAGGTCGGTTCCCCGGTGAGGCTACCACCAATTGGAAATACAAGACCAAACCTTGAACTGAAAGGGGAGACTTGGTTTTAGCAATACTCAAGAAACAAACAAAGCAAAGACGACAACGGTTCTCGAGCACTAAAACGAAGACAGGACAGCTCCCCGTCGAGTATACATCTAGTATTCGAAACATCCACTTGGGATTACTGGTGAAGAGGAGGAAAGCCTAGCGCTCAACACTGCTGGAGAGCTCCCAAAGGACAGCGTTGCAAGATGGGTGCCAGCGTGTCGTGGCTATCTGGGGTGTTGTGGTCGAAGAAGGAGATAAGGATATTGATTCTTGGTCTGGTATGCTGCCTTGAAGTGTTCTGTTCAACTATTTTGGGGCTCCACTAACCTCTGGCGGACTACAGGATAATGCTGGCAAAACCACCCTTTTATACAGGTTGAAGGTTTGTCGCCCTCGGACCCGAACCAAGTACGCACTCGCTGATACGAGTATAGATTGGAGAGGTTGTTACAACAATACCCACAATAGGATTCAACGTTGAATCTGTCACCTACAAAAATCTAAATTTTAATGTCTGGGTGCGTGTTAGACTCCGCCCTGTCTATGCGTTTCATTATCTGACGGCCTTTTAGGATCTTGGTGGCCAGACTTCGATTCGACCTTATTGGCGGTGTTACTACGCCAATACAGCTGCGGTTATTTTCGTCATCGACTCCACCGATATCGACCGTCTAGGCACTGCCTCGGAAGAATTAGCAGCGATGTTGAACGAAGACGAGTTGAAGGACGCCGCGTTATTAGTGTTCGCAAATAAACAGGACCAACCAGGAGCGAAGGGAGCGGGGGAAATAAGTGAAGCATTGAAGCTAGGAGAGTTGAGAGACCGGAATTGGAGCATTGTGGCTTGTAGCGCCGTAGATGGAAGCGGTGTGGATGAGGGTATGGACTGGCTTGTGGTAAGTTCTTGAAAGGCGCTGGAGCTGTCCAGGTGGGAAGTAAAACGACCGCAGCTGACATTTGAATAGCAAACCGTGCAGCAAGACTCGTAGGGAAAATGAGATTGGGGAGACAGCATGTATATCACCCCACCAGCCTTGGATAATTCGATTGAAGTAGAATGCACTCATCGCCGGCGTTGGGAGGGTGACTAGCGTTTGGGTATGCGGTCTGAAGCTGATCTTGCTCTGGGGGTAATCAAAGGGTTATTCAGTGGAGAGGATACGAACATGTTTGAATGTAGAATGACACGACACGAAGATGAGACGGAGAAGTTGACCCCAGGTGGGGCTGAACTTTAGATCTCCCAGGAACATAATTGCATTGAATACCATTTACAGTAGCACTAGGTTAGTTGGGGGTTCTGGTTCTAGTGACGGAGGTTTGGCAGCTGTTATTGAAGCCTACCTACCCAGGGCTGCGTAGGCAAGGAGTAGACAAATGATTGCCAAGCCTCGTCCAGCCGGGCCTCAACTTCTCCAGTCTTCGATGCATTGTAAATGGCCCCCCCGAGCCGCCATGAACGCTGCGGTCTGTCTACTGGACCGAGTGGAGCATCTCGCCCATGATGATACGATCCCGTCATATCATATCTTGCTCTCTCAAGGGGACAGCGGACTCAGTCTCCCTTTCACCGCCCTTCTGGGCCCTGGAAGTGCAGCGCAGCGCAGTGGCATGCCCTGTCATCCTGCGATGAGGAATCATTTTGCACCAGAGCATAGGGCTAAACATCGCCATGTGGGACCACTGCGGCCCGTGGGAGAGCAGACATAGCCAATACTAGGTCTTGGGGGCGGCCCCACGGCGAGATGTCCAAGGTATGTATTTGTGGATTCTAGAGAAGGTTGTGGCAACTACTTCGTACGAAGTACACGTACAGTAGCAGATTGATTACGAAGTATTAGCCGGCGATTGGGGGCGGAGGGGTGGAAGTCGAACGATCATCCTCGAGTTGGTAGGTACCTTACCTAGGTAGGCAGACTCCTTAGGGATGATGTGCTTGTCTCGTTGTTGCTCTCGGCATTTGGGATCGGGGCCCTCTAAGCATACCTACCTAGTACTGGCACTGGACATACGGAGACAGACTGCACAGCACAGTCAATGGTATAATTGATTTGTACCTATGTAATTTGCATCCTTTTGTCGGTGGCCACCGGTTGGCCTTGGCCTATACGAGTAGGGCAAGCAGGCAAGTACAAAGTCGATACTCTCGGTACATACTAAGGTACATACCTCGTGATGTGCATATCTTACCTAAGGTACGTAGGTACCTTAGTATAACAGACTACAAGAGAGTTACGAGAGTTGCTAGTTCAACACTTTCCGGTCAGGCCGGGATTAGACTGTGGCCTGGAATTAGTCAGTAAACAAGCACATCCATCGACGGTTTACCCCTCCTTCCCCACTACCAAGTACTAAGCACCAAGCACCAAGTGCCTACGGGGGGACGGGGGTGCTTCGTAGGTAACCATCCGTTACTCCTACGACTATGCAGCGTACTACTATGTACAATGATAGGTACTGTACATTGTCGTATAATATTCATACAATGCCTCCTTTTGAGGCATACTTGAATACCTAGGTACCTAGGTACCAGTCGAGAAGGCTATAAACAAGAACGGTACGTAGGGACGTACCTCGTCGACACACCTACTCTGTAGAGGTACTTGTAGGTACATGTACTGTACATGATGTACCTAAGATACGAGTACGTACGGAGGTGGATATAGAGCTGCGGAGTAGGAATAGGAAGGTGGAAGTGCAAGTGCAAGTCTAAGTGCAAGTCTAAGTCTAAGACCAAAGGTCTAAGTCCAAAGTCCAAGGTACTACGGAATCCGTACTTCGTAGGTACAGTACCTAGATGTGGATATAACGGCGACTCTTTGCTAATTGGCAACATGCAGCCGCCCATTGGCTCAGCGGACGGCCACGCTTGGCGTTGACGCGTTATGTGTAACTAGGCCCGAACCTTGGGGAGAGCTGCTTGCGTCCTTTCAGGCCGGATAGCAGGATACACCTCATCCTGCACCGAAGTACGTATTTCGTAGTACTACCTACCACTGGACTACTGCTGGACCACGGTACTACCACTTCCTCCGCCTCCTACTACAGTGCGTACTCGTACCACATACAGAGAACGGAGAACGGATATGGGCGATCCGCCGTCCACCCTCACGGTCTCACTCTCACGCATTGCACGCTGGGCTCCTGGGCGACAGTAACTAGGCCTCCTGGGGTTCTCAGGGTTCCATGCTGCATGTTGTTGCTGCAGGTTACTTGTACTTGGTGGAAAGTCGGCTTATAAACTCATAAGCTCGCCTTTCCCCTCTCCCCTCCTTTTCCCCTCCTTTTCCTCTTCCCCGTCCCTCTCCCTTTCCCTTTCCCTTGCTCAGCATCAGCATCACCATCACAACCACAACCACAACCACAATCATCACCTCCACCCTCCCTCCAATTCCCATCTCAGCTTCCTCTCCGTTCAATACCTAACCTTACCTACCCAACTAAAACCACTCCCTCCGCCATTCATACAAAATGGGTGCCGACGATAAGTCCGCGTCGACCTTCAAGTACAATGAGAAGCCCTTCTACACCACCTCCAATGGCTGTCCCATAAACAACCCCGAGGCCTTCCAACGTGTCGGCCAGAATGGCCCGCTCTTGCTCCAGGACTTCCACTTGATCGATCTGCTGGCCCATTTCGACCGTGAACGTATCCCCGAGCGTGTGGTCCATGCAAAGGGCGCCGGCGCATATGGCGGTATGCTCAACTACCCCAACACACCCAGTCGTCCTCCGTTGGGATATCTACTAACCTTCATGTGGAACAGAGTTCGAGGTCACCCACGACATCAGCGATATCACCTCCGTCGATATGCTCAATGGTGTTGGCAAAAAGACTCCTTGTGTGGTTCGTTTCTCGACCGTCGGCGGCGAGAAGGGTTCTGCAGACACAGCCCGCGATCCTCGAGGATTCGCCATCAAATTCTATACGGAAGAGGGCAACTGGGACTGGGTGTACAATAACACCCCCATCTTCTTCATCCGCGACCCAACGTTGTTCCCGCTCTTCATTCACACCCAGAAGCGGAACCCCCAGACCAACCTGAAGGATGCCACCATGTTCTGGGATTATCTCTCAACCCACCAAGAGGCAGTCCACCAGCTCATGCATCTTTTCAGCGACCGTGGCACCCCATACTCTTACCGTCACATGAATGGCTACTCGGGCCACACACATAAGTTTGTGAAGGCAGATGGCTCTTTCGTCTACATCCAGATCCACTTGAAGACCGATCAGGGCAACAAGACCTTCACCAATGAGGAGGCGGGCAAGATGGCATCTGAGAACCCAGACTGGAACACTCAAGATCTCTTCGAGGCCATTCAAAACGGCGATCATCCATCATGGACCGTCTACGTTCAAGTCCTGACTCAGGAGCAGGCGGAGAAGTTCCGCTGGAACATCTTCGATTTGACCAAGGTCTGGCCACAGAAGGATGTCCCACTACGGCCCTTCGGCAAGATGACTCTCAACAAGAACGTTGAGAACTACTTCGCCGAAATTGAGCAGGTCGCTTTCTCGCCGTCCCATTTGGTTCCGGGTGTTGAGCCATCTGCTGACCCCGTTCTTCAATCACGCCTTTTCTCTTACCCAGATACCCACCGCCACCGCCTCGGAACCAACTACCAACAAATCCCAGTTAACGCTCCTCTCAAGGCTTTCAACCCGTACCAACGTGATGGCGCCATGGCCGTTAACGGCAATTACGGCGCGAATCCCAACTACCCATCTTCTTACCGTTCCTTAAGCTACAAGCCTTACAAGACCGTCAATGATCATGAGAAGTGGGCTGGTGCTGCTGTCTCATTCTTGTCCGAGGTCACCCCGGATGATTATGTCCAGGCCAAGGGGCTCTGGGATGTTCTCGGCAGGACCCCTGGTCAACAGGACAACTTTGTCACCAATGTTTCTGTCCATTTATGCTCAGCAAAGGAGGATACTCGTAAGCGCACTTATGAAATGTTTACAAAGGTCGATCCCGGACTTGGTGCACGCATCCATGATGCAACAGAGAAGAATGCTCAACCTCCCGCCCAATCTCGTCTTTAAACTAGAACGGCCAGAGTAAATATTATGAACAGAAAACGGAATATGACTCAGGATTATGATTGAGACGAGGACCGAGAACAAATTGAATTGAAATCATTGCATAGGTAGCTTTAGGTGATAACGCCCAGTTACATATCATTTTATGAAAGTCCAAATGTACAAATTATCTGAATACTTGCCAAGGGCGTTAATTGCTCAATGGTGTAGATTTTATCCAAATTGAGGGCCTCGTCTCTCGGGCCAGGTAGTCCTCATTTCAATTTACGATTCCTCCCTTTTGAAATCTACCGGCATTTCTATTACCATCAACTAGCCGGGAAAGACTTACCTCGACCTACTCCAATGCTCCTACTTGTCCTTCTCTCATAAACGATCCTACATAAAACCCACTAACACATCATATCGCCAAGCTTATTCCCTAATCCCTTTGATCTCGTCGCAAGATACAAGGGAAAGTACTAAACGGTAACCCGGGCATCGCTCAGAAACAACATAAAAAGCCCCTCACATGTACTTCTTCCTCCTACATAACTGTGTTACTATATATCACCCTATCATATGAGTATTATATGATAACATACCACAGAACAAAATCAGCACCAAGCCGATCCGCAGTCTATCTTATGTCGAACCCGGTTCGCTCTCATCACTAACTACCGCCAACTAAATAGCAATCAACCCACTCGTTTAACGCTACTCTTCTCCAAACAAAACGAGCAGAAAACTCCACTGCAGCACTCACCCGCAATCAAACTGGCGCCATAATGAGGGGCATTAGCATGGTTATTGTAAGACTAATGGTAAGTGGTAATAGCAAATGTGACAACGTTGAAATCAGGTAATGGTGTTAGGACTTGACGACGAGGGGAAGGGGCGGAAATAGAGTTGACATTGGAACTAATATAGCTTACAGTTTAGATTACAATGTAGCGCCTATCCCACCTAAAATCTGCAACCCAGTTATCGTCGCATTTCCCTGTATCGACTACCCAAGTAGTAAAAACCCACCCTAAAATGGCGGTGCAGGCTGTACTTATGAAACCCCCGGGGTCCAAGTAATCCAGTTGGTTACGGCTCCGAGTAAGCTCCTGCATTGGCAGTCTTCTCTTTACGCTCTTCTTCTGCAAGTATACATCGAGGGCCGATCATTTCTAAACAATTGGAATTAGGAAGGAAACAGAGGGAGGTACATACCGAGATCCCCAGCGACGGTACTCGTATTGGCATTTGCTATCGCAAAAGCCCCGCTCTATTCTACAGAGATCGCATCCTTAGTGATTAGGAATCATATCGGGATATAGTACTTCATGATGGTCGAGTTACCCGGTCCCAGAAACAGTATTAGATACAGTATAACACATATTCCTCTACATAATGATTCTCGTGGCGTACTGGCTTCATAACCTTGATGCTACTATCACACAGCAGACGTCCCTATTAGAGTAGCTCGGCGCTTATAATTAGGTCTAGCACGAGAGAGATCTTGCGAGTCCTTGTAAACACCTTGTTCTCCTGCTTTTTTTTTCTTGGCCGAGAGACCACTTATCCTAGCTTGCAGCCTATGTGGAGGTTGCTGTCGATACCATTATAAAAATAAATGAAGGCGTGAACCCGGATGATAAACCAGCCAAGGAGTCAGTGTACATATATATATATATCTAGGGGAACAATTTAGGTCAAGATAGAGCTGATATGTAATGAAGATATGTATAATGATGCACAAGCTGCTTTTGCGGCCCTATTCAGGGCGCAAAATTCCAGCGCTATTATATTTCAAAGTATAAGCTATTGTTGTATTACATAACTTCATTCCCTAGTCAGAGACTCACAGCCTCCAAATCCAAGCAGGGGAAGTCCTCGTAGACTATATGTTGTCGCATTCGACAAAGGCCAATTTAATGGGAACCAAACCGTCTCCCTCAGTTTCTCCTCGTTAGTCAGGCGATGTAACTCAATGTCCATTTACGCGTTAGAATTGAGAATCCTCCTCCTGTTGGTCGTCTAATATGAACTTAAGTGTTTGTAGTCAGTTGGATATTCGGGTCATTTAGGGTTTGAGTTTTGGTCACTATTCAACCCCAGTTTGACATTATCTAAGAGAGCTAGCCGTCTGTCCATAAGGCTGGGAGGTATGGAGACTGGCCTAAATATCTTCCCAATGGACATCAGACCAATCGTGTCCCTCTATCAAGCCTGTGAAGTTGATACATTGTTCCATAGTCAATGGGAGGATTCCCGCAACGGAGTCCTGTAGTCGTCCAATAGCGAAATTCCCTATAACAGAGGGATCATTCAAGATCTGGTGAAACCAGTCCTTGTAGCATTGAAATAGTAGGCTCAAATTCGACATCCATGAGTTGTGATCCTGCTCGATTTCTTTTGGAGCAAGCCCCTCGGTTTTGGTTATCACGGCGTCTAAATACTTGTCGAGATCTGCTAGCTCACGCACTTTAACATGATCCAGAGCAGGAGCATCAAGAGCAGTAACAAACGCCCCAATGATCGATATGGCGTAGACGGTACGGAAAATGTCCGGTAGGACGAGGTCTAAGGATTCGATATCAGGGAGTGAGAGGAAGTGATCTAAATAGGTTTTCGAGCTTTGCACACAATGCATCGACGATTCATTCCTGCTTGTAGAATAGTACCATAACCGTCGGGCCGCTAACGCTGGTAGGATGTCGGATGGCGGGTGTGGTTTTGCATGGAAGCCAATCTCGTTGACGTAGATGCGGACGAAATAGTAAGACATTCTTATTGAAGCTAGATAGATATCAGAACGCGAGAACACATACATTATTCGGGTGTGGAACACTTACTATTATTCCATACCTGTATAGGGAAAGCCGACTCGAATTGCTTGAGTTGTTCACCAAATGCCTTGGAAAGAACTTCGATCCTGACAGTATCGATCTCGACTAGCTCAAGGGAGGCATCATAGCTAAAAGCTCGATTGACATCTTCTGCAAATTGTTCTAATCGGATAAAGTACGGCACAAGATAATCTGTTTCTGATTCAGCTGCCCGGCCCAATACCTGACAGCACTCCTCTGTGTAAGCACCATAACGCATGTTGCTTGGTTTCTTCAAATCTCGACACACCCTAAAAGCTCTGATTAGTCCAGATTCTTTTATGCAGAAACCTACGTACGATGATGCAAGGTAATAACACCCAAGAAATGTCCTACGATACTCTAGTTCTTGAAGGCAACCCCTTGATTGAGGTAGCAGCGGTGTCAAAATCGATAGGCTTGCTGGTGTTTTCTCTTGAGGCGACTTGTTAATTCCCAAATCAACAGTCATCGAGACCGCCATTTGGATCAGTTGATACACTTGCTGGTGGTCGACCTTGAAATAAAAGTGATACCTATGGCACATCAACCCCCCTCACGCAGCCCATGATACGATCCAGAGCAACTCACCATGCAAGATATACAAGGAGGCCTTGTAAGAGATCCAAGCTCTTCTCCCCATTAACAATAACCTTTTTGCTAAGATATTCCTTGAGCTCAAGTTCAAGTTGATCTTGTATCTTCGCATTTTTCTGCGAAGCAAAAGTCAGTATAGATAGTAGGAGAAATGGCCGCTCTCGTCGGAGACTATCTAATGACATCTGCGAAGACACTAGAACAAATGGAAACCTGGCAGCTTTTGACCTGAAAACCTGGATTGAGTTTTCGGCTTGCTCGAAACTAATAATGCTCTTAGATATAGGATCTGGCAAGTCACCAAGTACAACATCTGCAAATGAAAATGTTGAAGGATAATAGTGTTGAGGAACTGAAAAATCTTGCGATCGAAGCTGTGGAGCTTCTAGAGGAAGCAAAGTAGAGAGTGCTTGGTCGGTTATCTTCAAAGGCGATATCGTGGCTAGACCTGATTGAGTGGCAACCTGCTTCGTAGCCTGTGCATTTGGTGTAAGAAGAGCGACCAGGTCATCCAGCCTCTCCTCCATTTCCGCAACACGCCTGCAAAAATCCAAATAAGCAGAAAGATCCTTAAAATCTCAAGCCTAGGTGCATACATTCTAGAGTTCTTTGCCCGTTTAGGCCTTGGTTTAGCTTCGAGGAAGACGCATTGTTTTCCCTCCTTAGCACATCTGCGAGTTGTTAGTCCACTGTATCTCATGACCACAGCGTACAGTTTTACAAACCTCTGGCACTGGTTACTGTCTTTACTAGGACAGCATTTGCCTTTCGAGTTCCGACACAATTCGCATGACCGACGGAGCTTAGGAACTTTTTTCCCTACTCGTACTTGAGTGGTTGAAGCTCCCATTTCAGGTGCAACCTGGCCGTGCTCGGTATGAGTAGGAAATGGTGTGATATCGTGGAATAGCTCCATAACTCCGATGGCCAAGGTTCCCAGCACTTAGGTTCGGAGTGAGAGAACAAGCAGTCTCGAACTCGATATCTCTCCGGGAGTGTAAGTTCGGTCCTTTTAGAAAGAAAGTCGAATGGTTATAAGTTGAGGTTGTCGCGCCGCAACGTAAGCTAGCCAGTGCCTACAGTACGGCCGGCTATACGACCATCCTAGCTCTGATACGCGCGCCTATTCGATCGACTCGTATAGTTTTAGGGATATCGCTAAACTCCTCTCCTATCACAAGCTATCCTTTCAATAGTTATTGCCACAGGTGGCACTATTCTTGTGACTATGTAGCTTGATAATATATGTGGTTGCTAGAAGTTCTAGCACTCGGCCCTATCCTAACTGTGCAAAATCAACTACAAAGTAGAGCCAGGGATTCTTGGTGCTGACAGCTGAGACAACTTTACCGAAGCCCACATGGTAGTCGATGGTGATAGATTATTAGTACGGTTTTTTTTTAATTCACATAGGTTGTAACTAATGTCATAAAGTATCTATGTACCGACCATCTCACCTATTGGGCTTCAAGGCTCTTGAATATACTCTCTGAGCTGAGGGCAAAACTAATCCCGAAAATGCCCGACGAGTGATATTCCTCGATCCCTACCTACCTAGGTACGTAAGGCAACGCAGATAGATAAGTACCTCGGGTCGTATTGTTTAACTCGAATTCATAATTAAATGGGTGGCCCGAAATTTGACCGGAAAATAATTGCATCTATAGTGTGGGTATCGTTACCTCCGTCCCGAACTCTATGAATACAGATGTATTACTCTTTTCCCCCATGGGCTATCCTTTTTGACGTAGGCTCCTACGTTAAATAGGCGGTGTTCCCCTCCTTGATGCCCTCGCCTGGATTTATATTATTCCCGCTCTTTGGTTCTCTGGCCTCCAATGCCTCCAATGCCTCCAATTCTTCTCTTTCTTCAATGGTTAAATCGCTCTTTGCCTTTGTGATCTTTACAAAGAATATCAAGATGATAAGTGCAACCGCCGCACAAGCCACCTCGAGCCAGAACACTGCTTGGTAGCTTTTCCGAGATCCAAGTCTAGCTATCGTATATGTGTTCACGATATCTGCGAACCCAAGGCAGACCGCAATTCCAAGGTGAAACAACAGCATGATTAGCCCCCCCGCAAGACCCTGCTGCTGCTGTGGGAGGGATGTGGTGATGAAGACGTTGGTGATGTTGAATGTAATGTCGATTCCCATGGTTGCGCATATCATAGAGGGGAAAATGTATTCCCAATATGTTGCATTTTGCGGTGCAATGGCGAAGAGCAACGGCGCGATGATCCATGATGTGCCAGCAATAGTAATAAGGACGGTTCCCGGAACCAGATGCGAGATGAAGCCGCCGAATGTAGATATAATGCAACCACCAAGTGCCATGGGAGTGTACCACGCAACAAGACGTAATGGTGAGATCCCCATAATACCTTCCATGTAGAAGGTAGCGTAGAGCATGAATATCCCCAGGGAGCCGTGAAAAAAAGAACTACGATGAGCGCCGGCATAGAAGGAACTTTAAAAAGAGATGCAGGTAGTAAAGGGTGCTCGGCGCGGGGTTCGAAATAAAAAAGAGAGATTAGCAGAAGCGACCCAACTATAAATAAAATATAGATGTAAGACGTTTTCCATCCCTGAGGCGCGTGGGATGAATCGACGATGGCGAATGTAAACAATATCAGCCCAGAAAACATGAGTATTGCGCCCACCCAGTCCATCTTCGGTCTGTGAGCGCTCTTGCGTTTCTCCTGCATGTCTCTCGGGATAGTAAGATATGATGTCAGGGCAGTAATGGCAGCCAAGATTGCTCCGATCCAGAAATACCAACCCCAGGTTGTGTACTCGGCAGTGAGTCCAGCGAAAAAGATCCCGACATAGAAGCCGAACGGGGCACAGGCTCCATAAATGCTGAATACGAGGTTCTTCCTTGGGCCAGGTCGGTATGTGCTACCGAGGATCATGATACTAGATGGTAAAAATGCAGCTGGTCCTAATCCCTGAAGAGCACGACAGAAGTTGAGCATCAACTCATTACGGGAGAAGCCAGCGACTAAACTCCATGCTGTAAGCCAAGCTTGGCCGGCAACATAGACTGGATATCCTCCGTACATGTCGGCCAACCTTCCAAAAATCAAAAGGGACGATGCCACGGTTAATGAGAAGGCGCCTGCCGGCCATATTGACGACGCCGCAGAAATATGTAAATCTGCGGTCAATGTAGGAATGACGACCGTGAATCCAGACACAAAGTACTCCTAATAAGGTCAGCAATCAAGATTGAAAAGCCAGCCAAAGATTGTGTCTTACAGCTAGGATTTGGGACATGGAAATCGAGAAGATAAATCCAATTTCGGCCCATATAGAGTCGAATGCCTCGGGCCTCTGCCTTCCTAGGCGCTCGATCCGTGCTTCAAGAGACTCGTCCACGGGGAGGGGAAGTGCCCGTAAAGTATTACTTTGACCCGCCTCGGGAGGCGATACGCTGCTAGCATATGAAGGAGTAGTGGGCGCTGAAGGCGCCGCGCTCACCTGATCAGATTCCATCTTGGCACCCGTGGGAATTCTTCTACTGGCAGGGGATAACGGGACGGCGTTGGTAACTTGGATAGATTGACTTGATACAGATCCGCCGCCTTGTCCGCTCGGCGGAAGCATACTGGAGGATGTTAAGATAGAAGTAGCAGAGTGCCTAGAAAGGACGAGCAAAGTGTTACTCGCATTGGTCACCGAGGATTTCAAGCAGGAAACTTCAAAGGAAACGAACGCATCGGCGGAAGGAGAAACGCACAAAGGTCTACTTGCAGATTCAAAAGTGCAACATCGAGCTGTAACGAAGGGGTGGCCACTCCGGATTCTTTTATGCCAGAATGATACCTTTAAGTTGGGTTGGAAGGGAGAAAGAAGGCCGGCATGTTGCGGTGACTAATGGAGCTTACCTACTACCTGACTTACCTTACCTTACCTTACCTTACCTTACCTACCTAGGTACTTAACTCTGCTGCATTACTCAATCAGAACTACACGGCCCACCAGAGCGCCGCTAACGAATCGAACAGGTTTGAAGAGGCTGAGCAGCGACGTAAAGGGGTCGGCGGCGCACGTGATATGATCTGTAGAATGTAGAATGTAGCACGCAGAATTAATTTGAAGCAAAGGAGTCGGGGATGTTGCTATCGATAGGGATAGGGATAGGGATAGGGATAGGCGTAGCCCTGGTGCTTTCTAAGGTCGTGTCCTGTCAATAGCTTGCAAGCAAGATGAGGTCGTTGGGTGCGTTGTTTCGTACCTAACTAAGGTCAGGTACATACTTGCATACCTTAAGTAGGTGCCTAGGTACTTCGTACATTACCTTATGAATTAAGGAGTCTTTTCTTGGTGACGACCGAAGAAATTGATTGTCGGTTCGGCTCCGGGCCGGAGAAAGAATAGCGAATTGCTTATTAATAAATAGGTAGGCCAAGCATCACTCGAGTACTCGAGTGCTCGGGCGGCATCGGGCACGTGGACCGCCAAAGCAAACACCGCAAACGCTGCAAACACCGCAACTGGCGAGCAAAGTCCGCCGCACCATCCCTCAAAGGGTTAGCGCCTCGGGTACCAAAAGTTTTCCTACAAAAGCTTCTTCGCTCTTCAGAACTTCTTCTCTCCTTATCATCAGTAGAGGTTATAATTAATACTTATAACATTTTACATGGGTGCTCCACTACGGTGGCTGCTGAGGGTTATTCGTGTCGCAAGACACTATGGGTTTTCCTCCGTTCCCGGCTCCCTCGAAGAAAGGTGAACACTCTTTCCTACCAGCCGACTTCGCCGATTCTCTCGGATGTTGACTGTGGGGTGGTCTCTACAAAACAAAACCATGACGATTCTGCGTGTACTACCAGTCTACGTACGAGCATGGCAATTGGGCCTATTGGGGGAGGAGGGTCCGCCACCGGAATCGTGGCGCCCTGGACGATGTAGATACCAGTATGAATAATGGGTGCTGTGAGCTGTGTACGGAAAGGACATTATTGCAATGGGTCCTGGTCGTTATTTATCCTCTTAGCCTTTCCCCAGAGTGACCATCGCCGGCCAACCCTTAACTCGGTGCTTGCGTAACGTGTATATTCGTACCATGCACAAAGGCCCCTTCAATGTTCTTTCTTGTTTATCAGTTGGAGAACTTGTGGTGCGTAGAATTTCTTCCTCTCAAACGTGCTAGAGCCCGAAATATCTTTGAGCCTGCATGTGCAATGTGTCTACACACTATACTTACCTAGGTATCTCAGCCAGCAACCCTCCCCCACGAAGTTTGCTACATGAGAAAATTTTCAAATGGGTTTACTAGTGCCTCAGGGTCGCCGTGTCACGTAAATTAAACATTTTGCTATAGTGCAGACTTCGTCTCTTTTGTTGGCATTGCATTGCATTGGTTTGACTTGCTATTTAACCTTGTCTAACAACTACCATTTCGCGCAAGCAGCTCAGCAAAGAGTGCTCAACAACTCAATAATCTAGAAGATGCGCTTGGGAGGAGACATGGAAGCCTTGATAGTCAAGCTTCCCACGTTTTGCCATCCCTTCTTCAACAGAGACACAAGGTAGTTGATGGCCAACATAATGTTGGAGATCAACTGGTCCTCAGTCATGCCGACATTGCCAACAGCCACACCCATACACAGGACCTTTTTCAGCTGGAACTTGATGGTCGACTTAACTTCGTTGATCTTGCCGCTCAAATCCTCGTTATGGGAGACCGGGGTAGGGAATTTACCAGCTGTGAAGCAGTTAGTCCGTGTTCTAGGATCTTGGAATTCAGCAAGACTTACCCTTAGAAAGACCAGGACCCAAGAGACGAGGAATTTGCTTGATGAGCGTGTCGGATGCGACGAAGGCATCGTACTTGCGGGCAAGCTTCTTGATCAACTTCTTGTTCTTGTTGAGCTTCTTCAAGTCGTCAGAGGACATAGCATCGATTCCACCGTGCTTGGCACGATCGATATCATGCTGGTCACCTAGAATGCTAGAAACCCATCAGCCGTAGCCCTCAGCTAAATTGCTTTCCTAGGGTTCGAGACGTACCAGATGCTCATGTTGGGGCGCGGAACGACGGGCAGGCGGACGGTTCCAGAGAAACGCTTGTCACGTTGGGGATCATAGTTCTTAAGGCCGATTTCTACTATAGATTAGCACTAGTAACTTACTGTAAAACAAGATATCTATAGATTCTATACGTACGGAGTTCGACGGTTTCGAGGAAGTTCCTCTTCTTGGTTTCGAGAGAGTATTGGAGAAGCTCTTGGACGTTGGTACGCACTCCGGCTGTGGCAAATATAATTCAGTATGGGCAACCTCAGCAGAAACAGGAAAGGAAGACACCGCCAGAAGATAGCATAACTTACCGACTGTGATTTTAGACATGATGACAGTCTTCCAGTAGAATTGATGAGCTTCTAATGGTGAGGATTTGCGTAGTTGTCGAAGTTCGGTAGGTAGGTTGGAATTCTGCAAATGTTCTGTTGTGCGCGGGAGATTTTCCTTTGCCGAGATCACGTGCCATGTCTCGCTGGCTACAGTACGAATACGAATACGTCGCGCGAAGTACCTGAGTTGATTAGAACCTCCCTTGTCGGAATATCACATACCGCAAAAGTAGTGCTTCAAGGAAACAAACGGTCGAAGATGGGATCACGGCCAACTACGTGCCTTTCGCGAACCGCGCCTACAATCTTACGGTAATATTTATTTCTGTATCTGTCCGAGATTTGGACCTTGGGAGCCAAGCTTCCGAAACAGTATCGAGCTCCTGCGCTTGGTCACCTTGGTGCCCGGCCGCCCGCGTCTGAGGTCTGCTATTAGGGCAAATGAGTACACCCAGGTGCTATATACAACCCTACGACAACACATATTGGACCTGACAAACTAGGGGCACAATAGAAGTTAGCAAAACGACCGGTTACCGCAGTACTCAGCCGATGATGCATATTACGTTTCAACCTACAACAGACCCCGAATCTTAACAACCTTGGAATGCTATCCTGCTCACCTATGAGCCAATTTTTGCTGAGGAAAAGGCTCACGGGGCATACTTCTACCTACTAAAGGCACTTCTATTGTGCAGCTATAGCGTGAATGATGGCTATGATCATATGGCCCTACTATTGGTGTGATGTATGTATTCCCGATTTCCGAATCCTAGCACAGCTGCTCTGATTTAGCTAGCCATATCGTCGATATAATTATTATTCCTCAGGTTACAATTATTAATTATTGCTACCTTAGTTAATCCAACCCAAATAGACTAGTGAGCCTCTGTAGGTTGGTTATGATATCTCTTGTTCTTCGATCGATGTTAATTGCAATATCTGTAGCGATCCTTATATTGTGCGTTATAAGCGCGCGGGGGTGCTGGGAGAAGGCTCTCTTTCTATTCAGTTATAGTAGAACTAGGTATCATTATTAGATCACTGTCACATTTACATTAGCAGTAATCTAAGAATACCCTTCTATTATCCCAATAGAGATATAGTTATTCTTCCGTGTTACATTAAGTTACGAGGTTCAACTTGAGCCACCACATTACGTCTATACCTAGGTACCTATGACGGCGGGTGCATTTATCCTCCTACAAGCTCGGGTAGTAGTAATTGGTAGGTATGTAGGTAACAACCCTTACGTGAGCCTGCTAGAGAAATGCTTAAGTGGGAGGAAGAGGTCCTGATATGTATATATAGTTTCAAAGACGCCTGGCAGCACATTTAGCGCTATATGTTTAGCCACTAAAACTGCCTTCTGCGGTTGGATAAATCGTACGAAATATATCTTACACGGTTGAAGGTTTGAAAGCTGCCTTGATGCTTTATTATACTACATAATTCCAACATACCCGGCTTAATATCTCCGAAATTTCCATGGATAGGATATAAACAAGGGACTGCCTGTTTGGTAACTTGTATTGAGAATAGTATAAATGCGGTTATTAACTTAGGAGACGCAAATGACTCGACGAGAAGTGAATTGTCCAGTCCCCTGGATATCCACAAGCGGCCTCAACCAAGCGGTGAACAATTCCAGCTTCTTTGGGCACAGCACGTGTTATCGTACATTTGAGCCCTTACTTTGATATCATAGACTTCTTATACAAATTGCTCAAAAAAGCCATCGCTGAGAGTCAACCCCCAAAACAAATCCCTCATTTATTCACTCGTCGATATTGTACTTGGTCCTACTAGCAACCACCGGATAAAATGGCGCCATCCGAATCTAAAGAGCGGAAAGTCCGTATCTCATTTACAAACTGGGTCGCTGGAGGTTCGTTGCTCTCAGTACCAAAAGGCCCACGAGATGAAAGGCGGCGCGCCCCGAAGGTGACAGTCACCCAGCCTACTGATGTTCGTTATCGCTATATAATTTTCACTACAGCTTCAGGTTTTGAAGACAATTCTGGACTTGTCATGATTTAGCTTGAAATCTGTGCTAATTATTTCCGTGGGTTTAGAATATCAAACAACCTATGGCCGAGAAAGACAAGAAGGATGACGCAAAACTTGACGACCATGTCAGCCAAAACCAAAGCAAGCTACTTGGAGAGCAGAAACTGGACAACAACAGTGCAATCGATACTACCTCTATTTCCGGGAAGTCTTGGACAGAGGAGCAAGACTCTAAGCTCAGAGAGATGAAGAAAGCTAATAAGTCCTGGAAGGAAATCACTATCGCCCTGGGCGCTAGTAAGAAGGAGGTCGTGGCCAGGCATAATGAACTTACGCAAATGGACGATGGAGCTGCAGAGGCAAATCAATCGAATGACGCCATTGGGAAGGATGATAAACCAGAAGATGGGGGCTTTGGTGATATGGCGGCCATTTTCGACGATGCCGTTGATGTGGGAGAGAATACCACGCCTGAACAGGGGGTTGCTTCTGCTGAAGGGGGAAGTAAACCACAGAAGAGTGACAAGCAGAAGGGCAAAGAGAAAGCATTGTCTAGGCGGCCCCAAGAAGGAGACCAGAAATCCGAAGAATGCGACTGTCCCGACTGTATTCAAGAAAGACAAGCCGGCCGAACCCAACAAGGCATTAACTATGGCAAAGTTGGTCAGATATACCCGGAATCAAGCGCCAGTGGCGGGCAGACTGAGGAAAGTGTGCACAGAAGTCTACAGCCGGATAATATCTGGACAGAAGAGGACTGCCGGATCTTGGAGGAATTAGAGAAGAGGCATAGGGAAAACAAATGGTTGGAGGTCCAGGCTGGATTTTTCAATTGGACGGGGCGGATGGTCGCGGCGGAGATTATCGAGAAGAAGTTTAAGGGAGATAGAGTTGCGTAGAGGCAGTTGTCGGTTACTAAGATGGATGTCGAGTCGTGATGCTTGGACGGAAGAGTATCGGACAGTCGAGAGCACCTCACAGCCAGAAACGCAATACGCAGATGGCCACAGGCACATAAATAATACAACTGAATACGCACTCGCACTAACTTCCCCATTGTAAGTGACTCGCCGCAAAAACTGCAGTGAAGGGTATAATTCAATCGCCCAGATGATGCAAATGTGCAGTCCCCCATATTTTGTACAGTTGTATGCTGAACGCCAATTGATGTGAAAATGCTCGGCACCTCAACGCAATAAATCCCCACCATTAAAAAGCCTTGAAGCTCTAGTGCAAGCAAGATCCAAACATGAACTGCTCGCCATTAGTGTCGATAGACGTAACGAGAACAGCCCATCAGCCGTAGAAGAGGTTCACTAATTCTTATATCGGATTATCCATCCCTGGGCTCGGAACCGCGACCCGACTCCCTGCAGCGTTGCTCTTTGATGGTGGGGTTGCTCTCGTACCAGAGCTGCCTGCACCAGGAGTACTTCCAGACCCTCCAGACCCCAAACCACGTTTTACCATTTTCCCCAAGAGTCCCACCAGCCCAGCCGCATCCTCAAACATGTCATCATCCATGCCCTCTTGCGCATTATATACCTCAGCAATAGTTACTTTAGCCAGCTGTCGCGAGCTTTCCCTTTCGTGGAGACAATCGTACAGGAAGGCGACATACTCGACTCGAACGGAGAGCCGGAGAGGATGGCTTCCCCACAGCAGCTTCTCTGTCAGAGTAGTGGCTTCTTGGAAGCATTGGAGAGCTATAGGCCGGTAGTCCGCAGCTGGAACTAAGAAATTGGGTGCGAATTCTGGTGGCGGATAGGTGATGCCTTGAGGGCCACCGACAGGACCGCCTTCCAAAGGATGAGTCGGCTGCACAGAACTGGGTCGGAAAATATCATCACCGGGTGAGTTGCGATCAAGGCCTTTTCCTTTATCGAGCTTTGCTACTCGAGGCGACTTGAGACCTGGAGGCGTATGGACTTGGTTGCTGGCCCTCATGGCCACCTTCGGTGAATTATGGTATAAGACGTAGAGATGATAATATGATGCGCGTAACTTATAGGAGAGGACCTTGAGCTGGCTGAAATTTGCGACCATTGGGAGGACGTACTCCTCTAGCAGTTTGAGACCTTCGCGAGCATACCAGATGATGCGGCAGTACAGATCCACCGACTTGGTATCACGCGTTGTATCGAGTCGTCGAAGTTTCCGGGCCCTAATAACTTTGTCGGTGAGCATTGTCAAATTTCCCAAGATTTGAAATAGATTTTTGGCCAGAAAGGGATGGTCCATTTGGATGTTAGTAGCAAATTGAGCCAGGAACTTCATGTCGACTTCAGAGGCAGCCATTGAAAGCGGCACGACTGGCTTGATGGTGAAACCGGTGCGAGAAAGTGGGCTAGCTCCACTGCGTTACTAGGAAGCAATGCAGGACTTGTCGATCGGAGAAGTAGCTTTAACTTGTACCTAATATGATGTTAATACATTAAGACAAGCAAAATGCTACAAGAGCATAGGGGGTGGGAGGATAGGGAGGTGTTTCTTACCAAAGTCAAAAAAGGACAAACGTTTTCTAAAATACGTATGGGTCCTTTAGCGCCCACCGTCCTGTTTTCCAGATTTTCGAGGCGACTCTTGGATACTGTCAAGCGTCGAGATTCTCGTTTACTAAATCGCTGTGGGTTGACGGGATGTGAGGCTATAGCTCTAGGACCTAGTCTCCGAGTATCGTTCCAGCTGTCTCTGGCAATCCACCGCGTCACTTCTTTGCCACGTCCCCTGGGTTACTCAAGAGCTAGCCCAATCCCAAAGACTCACAGCGTCGAACACCGGAGAGCAATTTCCGGTCGAATTATATCCGATGGGACGGCCCAAACCCGGTTGACGACGCCCTCGATTCACCCAGACAATAGCAATGTCACTACTCGGAACACTGTCATTTGTCAGATCAGGTACACAGGTCTTATCAAGGGAAATTATTGGAGCTGGTGACCAGTTGCTGCCATCCAGACGGGCCTCACTAACCACTATATTACAGGTGGCCGGGTTGTAACCGCAACGGCTAGGTAGTTCTGCTACGAGCCAATGGCAACTCAAATCCGATTCAACAAGATGATCGCCGCGAACCCTTAAATCCTTCGAACGATAGACTGGAACGCGCGCAATGCATTTCGGCTTCTTTCAACGGGCGCAATGGCACGTGGAACTGGACGTTTTGCAGCCAGGTGCGAGGACCGGGAATGCTAGACGGCGGTGGTGATGATGGAGGTAGAGGTGCGAAAAAACCCGAACGCAGCCCTCGTCGGTGGGAGCCCCAATTGAGTGTTCAACGCGCTCGGAATTCAAACGGAATACGTAGTATAATCAATGCGCTCCAATTTGACTTGAGGTAAGTATCTAGGAGAGCAAAGGGGTTGCTGAGCCCTCAATGAACGAGCGTTATGACGGCAACGCGCCTGGAAGCTGGATTATGAGGGACAGACGCAAGCGCAACAAAAGCAGGCAAAACCAGGGAAGGGAAAGCAGAGAAAGGGGGAACTGCTAAATAAAAAGGCCAGTAACGCCCAACCACTTGATTCCTCCGCGCGGCGATCTAGACGTACGATCGCTGCAGCTGCATTGGCGCGTCGATGGTGCTGGTGCTGGTTCAAAGCTGCTGCTGCAAGATACGTGGCAGCGCCGTGCAGCACGACGAGACAGACGGTGTACGGAGTACAGAGGCAAGGTAGTTAACCTTATTAGGTACCTAGGTACGGTATGTATTATTATTATTCGTCCTGTACTATTTATTGTACAAACTGGTGCCTGTGAATGCCTTGCGCAGAAGAGGACCGGCCTAGGGCTTGCAGGCTTGCACTAGCTATTCTGGTTATTTGTCGCCTTCATGGCCTCTCCATCTCTCGCTCGCACGTATTGCTTTTCCTCCCCAGACCAGCACCACCACCCGCCCATGGCGGGTCATGCTGCCATGATGGTCCTGATACAGAAATTCGCCGTTTGGTGCATCTGTTCATGCAGGCGTGGCCTCCATGTTAGGTACTCAGCACTTCGTACGTACGGACGCACAGGAGGGCTAAATGCCAATTGCGCCCGCTGACTGGCTCACAACCGCTCCCCAGCCAGGTCAATTGCGGAGAGCCAGTGGCACAGGCTTCTACTTCTCCCAGCTTTGCGGTTATGCCAACGACTTCTCTTCATACTGGCCCAACCCCCCGAGTTTTCGCACCCGAGTCGTGGTGCCAGCACATCATCGCCTTCGCCCTTGGCCTCTTATATGCGGCCTCCCTCCTCCCACCAGCTGTCTATTCCCACCATCGCCAGCAGCGAAGAGAAGGCGATAAAACATGACATTGCTCGGCAAACCGTGCCCTGAATTGGCGGTGAGAGGTCGCATCATAGGCAGGAATCACCCTGCATGGCCTGGGAAATGAGAGCGTGCGATACAGACGCAGACCTACAGAGCTACAGGCTCACAGCAGCTGCATGAAGCCTCGATGGGACTGGGCCGCCCCGGGCTTTGCGCTAGATGGACGACGGTCTTTCGAGAACGTTTCTGGAAATCTCCCCCTCTTCTCTACTGGATTTCGTACAAACTCTGGCCGACATTGAAAAACTGCGTCATCCTGTGCCACTGGCAATCAAGCAGATATTCGATCCGCGTGGCATGTCACCATGCTTATTTGACATTCCCAAACCATGGTAGAATTGTGACAACCGGTGAAGCAAGTGCAGTTATCCGTCAGCGCCGCGAGCAAACGCATTTATTTCCATTCCGTCTTATTATGGCCTCCCAAAGTATTTGGGTGTTGTATGTATCCGCCAAGGATAGCACAAGCAGCTTCATTTTTGTCGTTTACATTATACCCTTCTATTCCAATAGTTTCAATGGTTCTTTTAAACCTAGTTTACAACCACCACCTGCTAAATTGCCTACCTATGTCGGTAATTTCTATAGCCTCGTGGCCCGACGGAGCCAAGCTTTGGGTAGACCCGCTCCCTAGGGCTTGCTTAGAGATATCAACAGCACAGTAGCTGCGGGACGAGGAAATAGTTACGCCCCTACCCTTCCATAATGAAGAGATCTATACAGTACAGCCTTCTCCTTTCTCGGAACGTGGATCAGACCGATTGTCATTCTTCCTCGTCACACAGAAGCCTCACCTAGGCCTACATCCGCAATCGTCGAAACCGCCAGTCCTTGAGAGCAAACAAAAGTCGCCCATGCGAGGCATATGTGATCACCCCATATGTATGGCTATCGTCAAGATTGATGTTGGGCCCATATCGGATTTTCGAAACAAGTAATGGTTGCTCACTCGTATCGGAGATGTGGTTCAAATAACAACAATGAACCGCTTTCGATGATGAGGCTGATCATGGAATGTTATAAGAACACGTTTGTGATGCCGAGGGCAAGCTTGTGACAAAGGACCGCCTTGAGCACACTCTCGAACAAGACTCGGGTTCGAAAATTACCGCATCACACTCGACCCTACGAAGTACTCCCCCTCAAATCCCGCACCCTCGAACCATTGACCACGGTTGATGTGAACGAAACCCATCAGAAAATCTCGACAACTTGGTCTCCCTTTGCCTTAAACCTTTCGACTAACCACGGCACCCTTGTGTATCTCGTCGCCTCGAAAAGAAAAGTCAATATGTGTCACTGGTACCTCCACCATTTTACTTGTAAGCACGTGACTTATGCTTGGGGAAAGTACTGCGAAAATGGGGCCATGGTTCAAACGCCTTGCAAGAAGAGGAGTGTCTGGCAAACGATCCACATGGGGGAGGACTGCGATGATTGTGCTATGCCAGAGAGTCGAGGAAGTGGGACCAGCGCGTCTGATTCCGGGGGGGAGCAGAAACTCGCGAAGGCGAAGAGTTCCAAGGGAAAATCAAAGCGATGAAAGTGGCGGTGGACGATGGATATTTGATTGAAAGGTTTGCATCATTTGGATGCTAGCTTTGGTTTATAGCCTTTACTGGAGATAGCGTTTCTACCGTAGGATCGGTTTACTTTTAAGGGGTATGGCTTGGCTTAGTTTCACATCTGACGCTTCGGTTGAGATTCTATATATTATGATAATAAGCTCTCCTATTCTATTCTAATTTCATATTTTGGAATGGTTCAAGGTCCTCGGGTGGAAATTTCACTTTGGCGGTTGTAGATGGCCGTTATACGCAGCAGTAAAACAACGAACGTCAAAAACGAAAAACCTAAGCATCAGATAGTCATGACATTCGTACATTCAAGCAAGACCTCCACATCCAGGAGGCACATTATTTTAGAAGTGTATAAAAGGGGAGACACCCTAAGTGCCGACATTTCAAGTCCCATCATAATAGTGCACTACAAAAGCAAGCGTTCAATTTTCGTGAACTAAAACCTCGGTCATCACTACTTGCGTACACCATAACTTCTAGACCTGCCTAGCAATCGTGAGAGAAGACCACGTTGGCATGGTTCATTACCGGGCCAGTAACCTAAGCTGATTTTTTCGTCTGCTCTTATATATATTTTGATTTTCGATGTCATTGGCGAAGCAACAATTCTATATCGCTACTATCCATGGACAAGCCTATACAATACACAAGTCCTTACCTTCACAATGGCAATGCCTACCGGATATGGGAATGGGAAGGAGTCTGTAACCGCTTAGGAAAAAGAACCCAACGAAGGGAGGACGAGGGATATAAAGATCGGCCCTAATAAAGGCGAGAAAGTAATTGAGGATATCAATCTGTTTCATCGGGATGGAGAAGCTTTTAGAAACCCGAATGTGGCTTATCCCTCTTTATCCATCCACTATGTATGGGTTAGTGAGAGAAATAATAGCACCAATGGTGAGTGTAGCTGTATAGATTGACCAGCACTACATATACTCTTCTGAAATTTCAGATTGAGTTCTGCGCAAGCACTTGCCTTTCCACGCAAGGAATAACAAAATATTGGCCGCCAATCGACCAGCCTTTGAATATAGGCTTAGTTCATAACTTGGATATCGGACGGCGTCAGATCCCGTATGGGAAAGAGCATGAAGTCCAACGCTATTGAAATAAGCCGATATTCTGTAATTAGAAGCTCAATCTTAAAGACGAACAGTTCTTGGAACGAACCATGTTACTTGAGTTTTAAGTGTCTGCTTAACCAACTGTGCAAATGCAGCGGTAACCAGGCGGTCAACTTAGACCGTTCGTGGCGGGGGGAACCTCATGCCTTCGTCATAGGGGGAATAATCTCCGGACTTACCCCCCCGTGTTTGTGAACTATATGGACGATCACCATATTATGTGATTGCACCTTGGGGATGCCGAGCCTGATTTGGAACGGAGGGAAATACTGGAATCGCCGGGTGTGGCAATGCCAGTTTAATAGACGTGGGGACTGGCGGAAGAAATGGGTTAACTGCGAGATTAATATAGAAATCGCTCGAAGGATTACCTCACAAAATTTGGGCTTGGCAAGAGGAGAGAGTCTACTCAACTACGTCAACAATAGGTTGTTAACAGAGCAGAGGGTTTTAAGAAATAGTAGCTACCAAAGAAAGAAATAACTTGAAATAGGAATATTTTAACATGGGACATCCTAACTCGGCAAATTTTAGGTATGATCTTTCTGATAGTAACAGTATTTTGGGATCGCCTAGTCTAAACATCGTCATCTTTGTGCTTACTTTTGAGTTTCGCATAGCCTCTATTTTTCCGACACACCGTCCTTGCCATGGCCCACCAAACCAGGCCTACTATGCCGCATACACCAAGCGCCAGCAAGATAAGGTGGTCTCCAATCCACAAGAACATCCGGTTATCCCAATTCACCCACGTGCCACCCCGGGCCTGACTGAAGTACAGCCAGGGATCGGCCTCTGGTCGATCGTCCATCATGATGCGAAACAATCTATTCTCCTGCGTTCCATCCTTTCCGGGAGCGGGGAGCAGGGCGTGGTATTTCTGCCAGATGTCCGTTTCAAACCATTGCCCGCTGGCATAGCTAATTGTGACGTATGGGAAAAAATAATTATAGTTATATGGGATTAGAGAGTTTGTGAGGAGGGTCCAGAATGGATGGTTCGGCCGGGCGCCAAGGATGTTGTTACTGAGGGCTCCACGGCCACCATCTGTAATCCAGGCTGGGTAGTAGAGGAGGGGAGTGAGGTCGGCGAGACAGCCCTTGAGCAAGAGGTGTTAGCGGGGTGGGGGGGAGAGCATCTCCACCCAGGGGAGGATCAGGATAGGGGATCGATAGCATACATTGTCTAGGTCGAGATAGATTCCACCATAGTGTAGTAGCAAGAAATAGCGCACGGTATCAACCCTCTGCACGGGGAAGCTGTATCCATCGTAGGTGGTTAGAAACCATGGATAATGTGTTGCTATAAATTCTCGGGACGTTTTCTCCGTCCATAGCTGGGAGTAGAAAGAGAACGTGAGCAACAAGCCTTTGCTATAATAACTGCGCTCATCGGGATGTAGAGTGAGTACCTACTTTGTATTCCCAGGTGGGATTTAAATCTATGCACGACTGGCGGAGATCATCCCAATCGGAGGGAATAGTCTCATTTCCCGGGTCGCGCCAGTTGTGAAAAACCTGGTGGATGATCTTGGGGATCAACTGCGGCCTTCGATCTGGGTTTGAGGTGGAGTTGTGAGCGATGGCGACCTCATCCTGGGTGAGGGCGATGCCGGAATGCTCGAAGAAGATGCGGACGAAGCTGGCGATACGCGTGGCGATGAAGGCCAACGCCAGGAAGACGAGCAGCAGAAGAATGGCCAGGTCGGCGCGGAGGCGCATGTTGCCGCAGAACGGACCCGTTCGAGGGCGGACTGGCTGGATGGCTACTGGGACTGGGAGGTGTAGGTTGGGGAGGGAGCAGCAGTTTCCTCTCTCTTCATGGCCGACTTGGGAAGAGAAGAGACTACTTTCCTCGCTTTCTCTTTCACGCACAAGCAAGAGGTGAAAACTGTACCTACAAAGTTCGTACTAGGGACTACGTACACTACTCGGTACAGAGCGAGATCGATCAGCCATACTTGTACTGTACCGACGCAGCCCTCCTCGGGGCTCGGAATGCTCGATAGGCAGCCAACCGGGCATTAAATTTCAAATAACAAGCAACTGGATAAAAGGGGGGGGCGCAAGGGGCCCCAGGGGAACCGCGCAGCCCTACGCCAGCCAACAACCGCATCCGAGATTGCGCGTAGACGCAGATAAAGTCCATGTACTTCGTACATGTTCCTACTGTACTGCACTGAGGTATTTTGGGTCGTAAACTCTGACCTCTAACAAGGGCATGTTGATCTCACCGGATGCCGGGGGGTGGGGGGCGCGAGGGGAGAAGGATTATGGTGAAATAAGACAAATGGCTCCTACGAAGCCCTGAGGATGGGGGTGGTTCCGGGGGCCGATAATCATGAAGGAATAGGGGGTTGTGGTTGTGGTTGTGGTTGTGGTTGTGGTTGTGGTTGTGGTTGGCGCTTACGGGAGTGCACTGAACAGCAGATGGCCCCCCAGAGACCCCCGGAGATGCCCCCAGATGCCCCCGACAGATGCCCCCCATAGATGCCCCCGATAGATTGCCCCAGCCTCAGTGCTGTACCGTAAGCATCGCCTACGAGTACTGTGCGTACGTAGGTATGTACATGTACCTGATACTGTACCTGACCTTACGCAGCAGCAGCAGCAGCAGCACCCCCTACTCGGAAGGTACTGAAGGGACTGTACGAGAACATCCTGCATACTGTATATATACACCTCAGCCGCCGCGCCTCAACCTCAGCCTCACCCTCACCCTCACCCTCACCCACCCACGGTGCCAAGCGGCCCAGAAGCTTAGAAGCCCCGATAAATAATGGAACTTACTCCGTACAGAGCTTGGAGAGCGCAGGCAGTCGAGGACCCTGCGCGTGGCCGCCTGTAACAGTACGAGTAAGGTGCTCGTACCGGGTAAGGTAAGGTAAGGTAAGGTACGAACGAGTACTCGCACTACCGTGCGTACCACCTTAGCTCTTCGCGTCCCTCCCGACGAAAAAGCTTAGCAGCGACGACGACGACGGCCACGACAACAACGACGACGCCTCCAGCCTGCTGATCCCATCCAAGTTGGCCCAACTCCTTCCTACGGTACCGCGGTACAGCCCCAGACGTGGAGCCAAATTGCAATCGTACCAACACCGTACCAACAACGTGCGAAGGAGCAGCGGATTGTTTCACCCCTGTGTGCGTCCGCCCTGTTGAAGGCACAGTGGCACCGTTCCCTAAAACGTGCGGTACTCTCTCTCTCTCTCTGTACACAACGTGCTGGATCCCTGGCGCTCGGAGAGAGCCCAGACTCCTGGCCCACAGCCCATCTGCGACGGTGCTCATACTAGTCCCATAGGTCCAACCCCGATGCAAGTCAGATTGCAACCTCCAAGGCCCGCTGTGAGCCAAAGGTGAGCCGTGTTTCAGCATCATGGCTGCTCCACCCCCCTGGATTGGACTCGTCCTGGGCGCACCCATACCTTGCCCCGAAATTGCAAATGGCCATTGCCGCTGCAGCTCCAGCTGGAATTATTCCGGAGGGGGGAGTTGGGAGGAATTAGGAAACATGTACAGTACTTCGAAGTATTCTCGGGGCCATCATTACTGCTATTATTATTATTTATTATTATTACGGCTTGGCTATGCTATGCTATGCAATGCTCTGCTCTACTCTGCTCGGCGGAGATGCGCCATGTCTGCCTGCGGGCGCTGACAGGTGCAGTCATCTTGTGTCGCCAACATCACGTCGTGGCTGACGGGTTACGGGTAATCATGGCATTCGAGATTGCAGAATAGTTATAACATACCGGTACCTTACCATACCTGAGGTACCTAGGTAAGGTATGGGAGGCCCAACGAGAACTCCCCCTTCCGTCCCCTCCCTATTCTATTTGTTCGGTCCTATCAGGCCCTGCATTTTGCGCCGGCTCAGCCCTTTTTAATATATCTGTTTATACATGAGCGCATCTGCGTTCTATTCTTTCTCTTTTTCTTCTTCTCCTCGTCCTTGTTGTCCTCCGTTTCTTCCGCTATCTCCAGGACCCTCCACCGTTGTCTGCTACAGACCTCGCCTTGGCTACTGCTCGCCGTTTGCTGCTCCTGCGCTGCGCTGAGTTGTGCTGTGTTTTACTGCCTGTTCTCCGCTCTGGAGAAAAGTCATGTCTTACCTTGCCCGGATTCCCTTATGGTGCACCCAGAGAGTCACCAGTCTTGTGCTGGTCGCTCTGTGGGTCTTGATATATATTGCCCTCTGGCGCGACCGGCCTCGTCCAAGTGCTCCTCCGCCGCCTCAGAGCAAGATCTCGTCATGGTTATCAAAGGGTAAGAAGAGCTCCGACCATGTCGTCGCTCTCGAACCCACCAATGCCCAGCTCGTGTTTGTGTGTTACACACTCGCCGCCCACATTCTTGGCCTCCTGTTCCCCATGCGGTTGCTATGGGCCACGCGAAGCATAACTAAGAAGCTCAACAAGATCTTCAATCAATCGCACGCCACCTCCGATGTGCTGTTGAACTATCCAAATCCAGCCGACGCTGATCTTGAAACCAAACTCGAGACTGGGTATGGATACGACGGATACGAGTCGACATCATCGTACTCTGAATCGGATTCTGTCACCGAAGTCGACGAGGCGAATGAATTGATCCTGCATGCCATTGTCATCCCAAACTACAAAGAGGATGTAGAAACACTGAGGGAAACATTGGAGGTTCTCGCCTGCCATCCCCAAGCAAACTCCACTTATGAGGCAAGTTAAATTGAAGCCGCTACGCCTGGGCATCAAATTGCAATCCAAGCCCCAAGAACAAATGACTAATCGAGAATTCACAGGTGTATCTTGCAATGGAGGCAGGCGAGTCCGGTGCCTCGACTAAAGCTGCTGTCCTCATGAAAGAATTTGCCGACCAGTTCCGAGAGATTGGATATACTTTGCATCCATCAGATCTTCCGGGAGAAGCGCAGGGGAAGAGCAGCAATCTGTGCTGGGCAGCGAAACATGTGAACGGGAAATACCTTGGCGGCCATATGAAAAGAAACGTCATTGTAACGGTTATTGATTGTAAGTAGCCCCTCGTCATACAATGCACTTGCCATTGCGCTCAAGGTTCATCGACGCTGACGAAAAGTTTTTTCTCTCGCGATCTTCAGCCGATAGTCATCTCTCATCCAAATACTTCTCCTTGATCAACGGCATGCATTTTAGATATCCAGAGACCGCTGAGACGACTATATATGTGCCGCCGATCATCTTCGACCGCAACGCTCACCACGTCCCTACGCCGGTTCGAGTCGCGGATCTACTTTGGGCCGGGGCTGGCCTGTCGGGCCACTACGATACCTCGTCCATATGCCCCCCGACGTCCGTTTATTCATTACCCCTTTCACTTGTCGACCAAGCTGGTGGCTGGGATGCCGGCGAGGAGGCCGTCGGCGAGGATCTCCATATGTATGTGAAATGTTTCTTTGCCCTCGACGGCAAATTAACAACAAGAACGGTCTTGAGCCCAGCGAGCCAGAGCAACGTTCATACAGATGGCAAAGGGATCAGGGGCTTCTTCCGGGACTGCAAGGCGCGATATCGACAAGCTTTGAGACACATGTGGGGCGCCCTCGATAGTGGTTACGTTGCCAAATGTGTTTCCAAGATGTGGTGGAGGAGCCTCGGTAGATCAGGCGGCCGGTTCGTATTCACACCGCTTATGCTTGGCCCGTCTTTTATTAACGTATCGATGCAGACCCCATTGGGGAAATACCATGGTCCTGCTTCATCGGATGTACGAAGCACATTTCCTTCCTACCCACATCACGTTTCTCATCATCGGCGGCGCCATCTATACCGTCGCCGTCCCCGCTGAGCAAATCCCGCCTTTGCTTCAACAGACCCTGAGCATCACTGCCTACATGCGGCTCATGAGTATTTTCAACTTCGGCATGTTCTTCTATCTGTACGAGGGGTATCACTATGTCTGCGTCAAGGGGCGCGAGGAGGAGATGGTCCGCGTTGGCCTAGCGGATCGGATGTCGGGGGCTTTCTCATATCGGACCATGGGGAAGAACTGCTTAGACTATTGTTTCTTCCCGATCGCAGGCGTGGCATTCGGCAGCGTGCCGACGACGGTAGCGTTGCTGTGCCATTTCTGGACTTTGCGTCTTGTCTACAAGGTGACGAAGAAGCCACCGTCGGCGGTATCGACTCCTGCCTAGCTTCGAGTTCCTTAGAACTCTTCGGCGTCAGCGGGTATAGAGCGTCTTTGTAGTCCTACAAAGCCAATATTTAATACATAATGTAATGAATGGAACAAGAATAGAGACACTGCACGCCGAACAACAACCCGGAGTAGTTTTGGTGAGAAACAAGGAATGAACAAAACATACTGAGAATTGACCAAGCTACAAGATCTTTGTACCTTTCGCTTTTGGTCCTTCAATAGTCGTAACTCGTGATCAAGGTGGTGTGTTCTGCCCGTGGCACCCATGCCCTGATACTCAGAGAGAGAAAACGTGACGAGAGGCTATATTTGGAACCCTGATCCTGATCATACACATTATATCCCCATCAACTGCTTCATATCTTTCATCCGGTAATCAAACACAGGAGTCTTCCAATCATCTCGAACCAGAGAATACGTCTCTGTCGTGTTCTTGTGCGGCTTGCGTGGATTAATGGCCCAATATGCAAAATCGGCATCAATCACCTGGAGATACTTGAGCAAATTGTCCCAGTAATGTCGCGTCTCCTGGCCTGCCCGACGCGGCGCGCCAAACTCCCCAACCCACACCGGGGCTATTTCTTCCTCGATGAGGTACGCCCAGTTTTCCTGCATTGACTTGACAAATGACGTGTAAGGCCGTGTTGAATATTTCCCAGCAAGGCTACCCCATCCAGACCAGCTATACACATGCGCGGAATATAGCACGCGGTCATCGATATCCAGAACAACAGGACGGGTCCGTACACCGGACAAGTCATTGGCAGAAGATACCCCTTCAACGATAATAAGCCAGTCTGGGTTCATACGAAGCAATCTGTTGCCTGCTCGTTCTGCCGCTGCCGCCCAGCGACCCCAAGGCATCGTGCCCCAGGGCCCCCGCACCTCATTGCGCAGATCAGCACCGATGACAAGTGAGTTATTCACATAGGGAGCCATGATCGTTTCCCAGTTCTGGATCCACTGGTCCTCCGTCTGCTTGACTCTGCAAAATGGGCCGAGATAATCATTGTGCCAGGCGGTATCACAAAGGTTAAGACCACAGCACCAGCGTGCCTGGCTGATATGGTCGTTCACGATCACCGCCAGACCGGCATCCGTCAGACTGTTCACCACGGCCACGTACACGTCCAGGGCACGCGAACCCACGAGATCCGCATTGGCTGCTAACAAGGCCGAGGGGATGAGTGGATTCTCATTGACCATTTCATCCGAGTAGGGAAGCCGGACGCTGTTGAAACCTAGATCGCGGATCACCTCAGCTATCTCGGAGCGGTGTTGTATATCGAGTCCTCCCGAGATGAAGGTTTCATCGCTAGCCCCATACCAATTGATAGATGCGAGCTTGAACCGCTGGCCCATAGCATCGATCACATCTCGTCCGCGTGTCCGAAGGGGGAGATTCTCGGCCAGAGCGGCTTTGGTCTTCTCAGTTAAAAATACAGGTGCAAGTTCTGCGCTTAGAAACTCCACAGCCGCTTTATCTGGGGAAAACTGAAATCGATAATACTTGTAGGCCTGCCCAAGAACGAATAAAAAGATGCTCACAGCGAGAGAGAGAAGAAGAAACCTGCGAATGGAAAATCGGGTCATTGTACTGTTTGCTGTAGTAATCGAACCTTTCTATGTCCTGCAGCTCCGAGGGTTTGGGTTTGGAATTTGGGATGTTGGGGAGCGCCGGGAAACACGGAAGTAGTGGTGGTGCCAAGTGGTACGTACGATTATTAGGCACCGGTACAAATTACGTAGGTACTGCCTGGACGTACAATACTCCGGAAAACAAAACGATGATGAGATAGCAGAAGCTGCCAGGAAACGACGCGTGGCAGGTACAAAACGCAGTATTCTTACTGGTAGAAACCAGCGTGCAACTGTATACCAGTTTCTACAGCTAGACCTCTTTGGGCGAGTGATACTCTTGTCACAGAATATGCAAAGCACCCCCTTTAACTTGTAAAGATTCGTCTAGACGCGCATAGACCCCTTGTGCGATTCCAACTACCACTTCGGATTGTTTATATGCCGGAAGCAAATCAACAGCGACCTCGAGTCTAGATACTATACCTATTAACTTATAAGTATAATAAGCTACTACTTAATAAATATAATTCTATAATTAAATATATATATAAAATAAACCCCTTTTTAAAAAATATATAATAACTCAATCTTAATATACTATTTATTAAATAAGTACTAGTAATAAATCTAGTAATATTATCTACTACTAACTTATCATCTCGAGGGACTTTGTATTAAGGTATCTATACTCTATAAAGTATTCCCCTCTGTTTATGCCCTTCAAATCTAACTAGGTAACTAACAGACCCCGCGATATTACTTATTATCCTTCGCGACTAACGCCCCTATCATTCTACACGAATCCTACTGCATCATTACAAGATACCTCCGCTCCAAGCCCTTTACACTCCTCTGTAAAGCCGAATTTTTCGCTTCCACGTCCTTTAGTTCTTGCTCCAACTCCTGTATATATTTATTAGCATATACCAACACCTCGGCCTTCCCAGCTTTCTTCTCGCCTAGGATCCCCTTCGGTAGGGTCCCCATCAGCGATTCAAATTGTATGTTTAGACGGTTGCGATACTGCTTTTCAATAAGATTGTGGTTCGTGCGCGTTTCTGCTGAGATTGCAGGGCTATTAGATGAAGAACATGTTGGGCGACATTTATTGTGCTGAGCTGAGTGAGATTTTGAATTATCGTGCAAGTATTTTCTGCGTTTTGATGAGACCTCGCTTGCTTTTGGGGCGGCCCTTGGTTCTTTCTTGTTGGCATTTTGTGCCTTAAGTGCCCTCGTCGACATTCGACGCGGTCTAGAGCCCCGACGGGGCTCCCTTGGAGCATCTCGAGATTTCTCTATAATGTCGATGGGAGTCGGCTGCCCGAGGGGAAGTTCCAGTTTGATATGCCCTTCTTCTGTCTTCTCGTGGCGATGTAGATGCTTCGTGGTAGGCATAAATTTTACCGAAGGGAAGTTCGGCATAAAACCATCTGGCAATATACTGAGGTCAAGGGCTGTTTCTTCTAAGTTGGGAACGAAGTTCAGCTGCGGAGGCTCTGTTGGAGGTGCGATTTCGTTCGGCTGACTAGCTGCTTGACTTTTGGTGGCAGCTACCTTTTCAAACGGGTCCCAGGAAGTATTCCCGAAGACCGAATCTTGAACCGAGCTCCCAAGCCATGAATGTGCCGATGAAATCATCCAGTCTTCGAATGTGTTTGCCGTAGCATTCTCCAGCTCATCTAGAACTTGGCTTGTCGGACTAGAGATAGTCCCCAGACAACTCTTCTATTGAGGTTAGCTACAGCTTCGATTTATTTCATAGAGGCCCAAACCCCTACAATAGAACGGGTATATATTGGACATACCTGGCCATCACCGCAAAAGCTAGTTTCACAGGCTGAGGTTGGGTTAATAGTGCAGTTCATGTTGACGGTATCTCTTAGGATGGGAACGATCTATGACTGACTTGGTGCATTTAACACCTAACCTAAATACTAGGTATAGGTTAAGATGGGCGCCTATATATATAAAGTATATAATTTATAAATAGTATAAATTGCAAATGACGTCAGGTATACTGATGGGCTACAGTGCTATTTTCTATCGGAGGTAGGCCTAGACTTTCAATCCGCTAGGCCCACTATAGTAACCAGAATTCTCCTGGAGGAGTTGAAAACAAGTTAACCAAAGGAGTCTGCTATGTAAATAAGCTTGTCTACGGCCCCCCAAGACACGAAAAGCGTTGGAATCGGTTGATTCCATAGACGAATAGGCTCGTTATAACTGTGAGTAGGCAAAAGTTAGAATTATCAATCCCCCTATATTAACTTAACTATTGATTAACCAGAAGCTTTGTTAAGTGAGATTCTTTGGTCGGAATTTCTGGAACTCTGTAATTTAGACTTTTTTAGGGCCCCGGAAAGCTAATCATCGTCATAATGCCCACGGTTTAGAGAGGTCGAGACGCGCGAAAATGATGCAAGAGCGGCTCCGGTTATCAAGGTAGGTTAGGATAGGGGGGGGGGCTCGCTAGCCGTACGATGTGGGATATGGGGTTGTTCGGGGGGGAGGGGGGTGTAACGGTTCTGTTATTCTTCCGACGGGGAATCCTAACAGAGGTGTTCTGTTTCGTTTGCGTAGCGAAGTAATGCAGTGATCTCTTCTAATGATCYGTAAGTGATATCAGGGTGAGTGAATCACGGAAGGAGTCAAGTGTAATCAAAGTAAACTGTTATGATTTATATTCAAGAATCAAGTTGAGCACGAAGCTCCTATCTAGTAAG